CCCCAAAACCCCAAAACCCCAAAACCCCAAAACCCCTGGTGATGAGTTTTGCATAGAAAAGTTATATTTTTACAGTCGGCGCTTGTATAAAGATGGATAATTTAGTTATCCATTTTTCTATATTTCTAATTTCAACTAGTACGAACTACTTTTTACATTTTATCTAACTGTATTATTTATTCTTATACAGGGAGGGAGGTAATAGTTCTGTTCATCAATACCTGGGAGTATTTTAAATGAATATATTCAATATTTATAGACTCTTAAATATAAACAATCTTAGATGAATATTCCCATTTGCTAATTAGATATCACTATTAATCTAAACAAGCCATCTATTACTTCTTCTCTTCTTATTCACTTTAACAATTTTTTAAATACAAAAAACTCCTAAATTCTCCTCGATACTCCTCTTTCTCTTATTCTTCCTCTTCCTCTTCCCTTTGCTTGGCCTCTTCTTCCATCTTCTTCTGTTTCTCTTTCTTCATATCCTCTCTTGCCTTATGTATCTCCGTCATCAGGCTCGCCACTGAAAGATTGACCATGAAGTACCTAATAATGTACCCGAAAGGGATCACAGTCACGAACAGCAACGTGTGGGGAACTCTGTGGAGCAAGTATATGTCGTTCTCAGTCAGGTTTCTGTGTTGGTAATTATGGTTAATAGTTCCACGAGTAAAGAGCAGGATTGCGACTAGTAAGGAGTGGACATAGTCCTCGAAGCCAAAGAGGTAGAGACCGAAGATACTCATGAGGAAGAAAGCTGAGATTAGGGATGTGCAGAGTAGTAGAGTGGTGATGGGCACAAGGTATTTGTAAATGAACTTGGAGAGATACTGCACCACAAGTCTCAAAGGCTCCAGCCAAAAAGTAGTGTATCAGATCAGCACTGCTGAAAGACTGGCAGCATTCAGGTAGTCAAAGGAGAATATACAGTACTGGAATATCTCCAGTGTCAAAAAGTCTATGTATTCTCCCTCTGTGGGCTCGAGGTTTGTGAACAAAATGTGGAAAATTATCTTCAGAATGAAGTTCAGCCAGTATGAGATTAGGAATAGAAGAGTGATGCCTTCGAATATATTAGGGAGTCTGAAGTGGTATATGAGCCTCTTCCATCTGCTTATTCTTTTCTCAACTTCTCGTTTAACAAACTTTGAAGGATCCTCCTTTATTTCGTTGAAGTAAATGTCTTCTTCAGAATGTATAGATGAATTTCTCTCTCTTTTTTCTTGCTTCAATATAATTTCTCTGTTTATTGCTTCTTCTAATTTGAATCTTAGTTTTTCCATGCGTTCTCTGAATATCTATATTTTAGACTTTCTGTTACGTATGGATTGTAGAGGTCAAGCAATGAAACTATCAGTATTGCTATTGTTGCTAGAAGACTTAGAATGCAAGTTGTCACTTCTATAGTTGAAGCAAACATTGGTGTAATGATGAATGAATTGAGTGATCTTATTACATGATCAAGCACAATCTCCCATGTAATAAAGACGACTTGGTAAGATCCTGTGTTCTTGTGGAGGTAAACCTTATTTATCTACAGGTCACATAAATTTTACCTATAATTGCCTTTGTCTGCAGATCAATCCAGTTGTTTGCTCTCATTTCTGCAATCATCTGGATAATAGTTTTATTTCTAAATCTCGTTAAATCTTTCATACCCCTCATCAGTAAATTCTGCCGAATACTCATACACAAAGCCGCTTTGGGCGTAGTTGTCAACAATAGCATTGTTAGTTCTTCCCTTCTTCTTAGAGAATATGTACCCATTTTCTTTTGTACCATAGGCTGTTTCAGAATTAGAATTCTAAAGATAAAGGAAATTTTACTTGGAATATGTCTGATCATTTATCTTCAGCCCAGGGAAACTTAGACTTCATCTCATTGGGTCCGAAAATTCAGCTGTTTGACTTTGCTCTTACTTGGTAAAGTTGAAATGGAACCAGTCTCTCAAATCTTCCATAGGTAAAATCCAAACCTGTGGGATTGAGCCAAATCAGAAACTCTGCAAATATCGTTTCCTCCACTGTATCTTGGTTAGAAATGGGGTTTTCTTTATTCACATTGTTGATATTAGTGAATCCAGTGAACTATGAAGTTAGAGCGGAAGTCTTACTTTGAGCTGAGTGTAGAGGTATGAATTCAAGTTTATGGCATTCACCACAATGATAAAGGGAAGAATTAATTTAACAATGCTATTTGAATAGACTCTTCATTTTACTTCTCTGTCTTTTAAGCATTTCTTCTCTCTGCCTTTTGAGCTTCTCATGCTTGAGCTCTAAAAATGATAGAAATCAGAGGTTTTATGGGGAGTATTTCTTCTTTAAAGTACCTTTTCTTATTCTAAAGGGAGTTATTTAATAGATTACCTTTTAGCTTCTCTGGCATTTCTTTCGTCCTGCTCTAAGAGATAAGCTTGTCTATTTCTAAAAATGAGAAGGAGGTTACTCTTTCCTTTTCAGTCATTTTGTCTCCTTCTCTCCATCCTCCAACTGGGATGAGATCCAGCTTAGGAATAGTCCCTGAGATTTTAGAATGAATCAGAGGTGTCAGTGTGTCCCATATCGTAAAATCTTTGTGAATTACTCGTCCTTCCTGGTCTACAAGAAACACCTTGTTCTCATCTTTGAGAAAGAAGTTAGCTATTTGTGGCATGAAATCTCTGAAGGTTTGTTTGGGGTCACTAGTTTCAAACATTCCAACATTTCCCTGATATTGTTGGAGATCCGCCATTGGATCATCACAATAATAGACTTCAAATTGCAAATTGTTAGAACTGATTATTTCACCTATACATCCGGAGTTAATCGCAAGATTTCTAAGTCTTTGTTCGAGGTTATTAAATTTTAATTGCTATTCTAGCATATCCCTTAGAGTTAGAAACCAGTAAAGGTTTGAGTAATCCTTAGGAAACCTCTGCTTACGAAAGTGGAAATGCATCAGATAAAAACTTGGTTAATTTAGTGATATAACCTAACTAAAAATTAACTTTAGTGGCTTTTTCTTTAAAATTCTGTTGTAAGAAGCCACTTTATTAGAGAAACTTGAGGATTTAGGCTAAATATTTAGCATCTTGATAAGTAAAGATCCATTTTATACTAAGGGAAAACCTCTCTGCAGCTACTAGGTTAAACGTAGGGTCATTGCTTATGAAAGCTCTCCTTAATTGAGGCTTTTCTGAACTAACAATAGTGGAGCTTATATTGGATAACTAAGACTTTTGGTATCAAAGCGATGCAAAGAGATCATTACCATCTTTATCCTCCCTCATAACTTCCAAGAGCCCTGGCATGACTGCACCCAGCTCCTTTTTGACCTTACTGAACATGTAGGTTTTATCAACTGAGTCTTCATTGGTTTTACTAAAGGGATATAGATATGAACGAGTACCCAGTTTTAGGCTTTCCGCCTCTCTTTTTACTCTCAATGATTTCTTCAAGAATCTCTTGCTTCTTTTGGAGTCTTCTTCTGAGGTCATTGTTGTCAAATTTTATGCTTGCCAATTTTTCTATTGGATAATGAGTCAAACATTCAGTGAAATTTAGAGAAAGAAATAGATTGACCGGAGTTTTAAGAAGTAACTAAAGAGGATACAGCTTAGCTAGTTCTGAAATTTTGAAAGTTTCCACTTAGATACTATCCTTATAGAGAATTCTTAGCCTTCTGGTTATTAATATTTCTTCCATCAATCAGAAGTTTGGTATTAAAGAAAAATTGAGAGTTAAGCTTGGTTTTTGCACTTACCTATTTCTATATCGACAATGGTGAGTCAGATAATAAATGAATAATTTGAAAACTAAGTTTTTGTAGCCAAAGCTTTTATGATTTGTCAATTAAGATTCTGGTGATGCATTATCCGATCACTTAGATCTGAATCTTTACATCACAGATCCTATATAATGACCATTGTTGGTCAGCACTCTGACCAGAACTATATTTAGACTGTACCCTTATCATTGGTGGCAATTTCTAAAATATCAGACTCAACTTACGTTCATCAAGCTCCTTGAGCTCAATTTTGTATTCTTCAATTCTCTGTTTCTTAGTGTCTCCTCTAAATATGACAATTAGTTAATTTCTTTGGGCTATCAGTTTTGAATAATGGCGATAAGAAAAGAGAAAGATTAGAATCTAGAATCTCTGAGCTTGATATTTTATTAACCCTCTCAAAAAGCTGAAACAGGAAGATATAAATTCTTCAAACATTTATCTATTCTAATAAATGAAGCATTTGTCCAGAAAATTCAGTAACAATTAGTTAGCAGCCTAAAATCTGCACTAAACCTAAAAATAATCTGTTCCTAATCCGAGAGCTATAAAGAATTACTAGATTCAAATTTCTCTGGTAAACACAACCTAGAAAATCCAGATATTCCCTAATCTTTCGGTTGAAAGAAGGTGTATTGGCTCTTTATTAGTATCAAGAATTATGAGCTAAAGCTTAAGCCGGTGCTATACTTGCAAGAGAAGATCCAGATAGAGCATACTTTTTACCCCGCTTGTTTGGTTTCATTGTTTTGAATAATAAATATTATATAATCATAGGATATTCCCTTATTGGGGTTTTGGGGTTTTGGGGTTTTGGGGTTTTGGGG